ATAATTATATAATTTTATGTAATTTTATAATATTTCATAGTAAAAATTAAACTTTTTATTATTTATTTTTAATTTAAATATAATTTTAACTTTTAGTATTTATTAGCTTTTATTAAAATAGTAAATATTATTTTGATTTCTTTTTTTCTTGACCAATTCAAAAATTCTACATTTATTTTCTTTATTAATGATTTTACAATTATTAAACTTAACAAAAATGAAACTAACAAAATTATAAGATTAGAGAAAAAAATTATGATTGCAAATTATTTATTTATATTATATGGATGATCAGCTATTAAAATCACTTTACGGAATATAGTAAATTATATAATCTGTAAGATAATTTTAATAGCTGATTAACTATATATTTACTTTTATATAATATAGTTCTAAAATAAGCAATATATTAATATTTTTGATTTTTGTAAAAATAAAAATCTAATTCAATAAATATTAGAAATAAAAATAAGAAAAATTTGTAATAATGAAATTTATTTGTCTTAATAATAAAAAACATGTAATTAAAACATTATTTTTTGAAATTAAAAAAAAATACTAAAGTTAAGATATTTACATCATAAATTATTTAAATATTTTATGATTAAGTAGTTATCTTAAAAAAAAACTGTAAATTTTTATAATGCTGTTATAATAATTAAGATATTTAATAATGACTCTATAAAATAATTGTTATTATATAACCTAAATTTTTTTAAAAAATGAATAAATTTTTGATCATCTTTTTTTTAGCATTATTCTTTTTTTTCACTTTACTTTTTTTATTTATTTTTTCTTTACTTTTACTTTAACTATAGATAAAAAAATAAAAGAATTTCTTTTTATAACTAATATGTATTTTTTCAAATTTTTAAATAATAGCTAATATAGTTTTTAAGGATTCTATTACAAATAATATTTAAAATATTATTCAAGAATAAGTTTTTTATTATTATAAAAAAGTAAATATAAAAAATACTGAAAAGTCTACCAAAATCTAGACTATGTAGTTATAAAATTTTATATTAAAGCTTGTTATTTTATTCTTTTGAATTTAATAATATTTTATATCTTTAAAAATAAATTATAAAGTTTATCTGTATAACAAAAAAATATAGTTTATGAATATAAAGTAACATTAGTTAAAGTTATTAATGCATTTATTAGACATTTTCTTATCATATTATTCACCTATTCATATATTAATTTATATATTAAGTAAATATTTTTGATTTATTTAATTTTTTATATGACAAATTGTATAATCTGTAGAATATAAATTTGGTAAAAAATCTGATTCAATAGTAATTAATTTATAATAAATCTAACAAATTTTATAATATTGTTTAGTTAATATAAATATGAAAGTCTTTTATATTGTATTTTTTTATTTATCAATAATTCTAGTTATTTATAAAGTTGAACATTATTATCTAAAAATTGATTAATTTAAATCTAATAGATGTAATAACTTATTATTTTACATTATAATTAAAAATAATAATGCTGAATCCAGGTTTATAATATTTCTATATTTAATAATAATAATTGTCGATATTCTAATATTTATTCTATTTATCTAAATACTTATCTTCAGCTAATAAAAAATTTTATTTATAATCTGATCCATTATAAACTAAAACTTGTATATAGCTTCCTTATCAAATAATGGATCCATTAAAGAATTATCATGCAAATGACGCGCAATTGCACAATAACAATTATAGATAGATTTTGGTGAATATTGTTATTTATCCTTACGATGAAGTGCTAGAAAAAACTGAACTAATTCTTGTTCTAGTTGTTTAAAATCAAGAACTTTACAAATATCATAATTTATATTTGCAAAAGCTCGATATTCATTAAGTACTCTAACCCAATTATCTGTATATTTTTTTGTATTTTTAACTAACTTCATATGAAATCGTTTCTTGTATAAGATGATATAAAGAACTAGGATTTGTATCTTTAGAAAGTTTCGAAGCTGATAAAAAAATCAGTTTGTGTATTTAAATTTTTTTTTTTTTTTAAAAAAATGGAAGAGATTTAAAAAAGTTTAATTTAAATAATACATTGATTACATCATTATGATGTCATATACGACATAGGATAACTAACTCCGGGGAAATAATCCGGCAAATCCCACTCAGCTGGGCCCCAAAGGCCCCTCCCCAATCTAAACGGGATTTACCTCTTATTTACCGCTTCGCGGGAAATAAGTAATATTTATCTAATATTTAAAGATATGTTTTTAAAGTATAAAACAACTTACCATTAGTTATTTATTATAATTATGTTTATCGGAAATATTATTGTTGATTAAATTATTTCTTGCAATTCATAACATAATAAAAGTTTTTTACACGTGGTAAATGACTAAAATACTTAAATTTGAATTTCTTAATATCGCGATTTTAATTTAATTTTATTTATTTATTATATTTTTTTTAAAATTTAAATTACCGACAACATTGGGTGGATGTACTAATTAAATCAAACTATGCATGGACCCGCATAAAATTACTATTGTAAATTTTTATATTATAAACTTTAATTAAACTACGTCTTATAATAAATTCCTTACTAAATCAATACATTTTCAAACTTCTATAATTTTTGAATTCTTTCAATTCTTTAAGTTTCCAATTTTACAAATACTCCAAATCATTATCTCTTTCGCATAATATTTTGATTTTTCTCAATAAAGTTTATTTGCGTTCAAAAAAATAAATAGTAATATTCGGGCATAGCTATCTAGGTAAAAAAAAAATTTTTTTAGCATTATTCAGAAAAGCAAACTATCCCATCATTCTTTGATAAAGAAATAGTATTTAAATAATATAAAAACATAAATAAATACAAAATTACTTAAACTTTTACGATTTTGGAAATTTCAATGGGAAATGCCTCCAATTTCAAGGCGAGCTAGCTAAGCATTTGAAAAAGAACGTTAAGTTTAATATAATAAATTTATCAATAATAATTTTATATGGGTCCATACATAGTTTTGATTTAATTGGTCCATCGACCACCCCAACGACACATCTATATAGTTTTGTGAAACTTTTTTAAATAATGTCTGCAAATTCAAGCTTTGAACTTTATTATTTATTTTTTAATTTTTTCTATGAACGCAAGATAATTAATTTTCACGATATGTACTGCACATTTTTTCGAACAAAGTATCTCACAGGAGTTGAATACATGGAAAAATTGGTATATAAATAAACGGGAAAGTATAATAGTTTTCGAAACGTCTATTCATATTCTCATCAGACACATAAATAATTATATGATTGTTATTTAATTTGATTTTATGGTAAAAAAAATATTATCATGCAATATTTATATATTTCATTTCATACAGTGATGGTAAATATAAGCACTAATTTTCTTCGCTGATTACATCATATTGAAAAAGATAAACAGTCATCTGATATATTTGAATGAAAATATGACAAATAATATAAATATTTTTTTTAAGGAAAAAAATTATGAAGAAAACGAATATTTAAATTTTCATTCTTTTTAAAGTTTAAAATTTTCTTTATCACACAGATTAGTTTCACGTAATGTGGATTGGCTTGAAGTTCGGAGCGAAGCGTAGGTTTTCCTTTCATAAATCTCACGCTCTGGACTTAATAATGGTTTCTGAATAATTTTGTGACAAGTCAATGATCTACGAATGGGACATTGTAGTCTTAAATTCTTTTAGTTTATTAGATTCGTAGATCAATTTGGCATCTGAATAATAAATCAAGTATAAAATTATTTTCGCCTAGGATGAAAGACGTGTTAAAATTTAAATTCTTATACTTTAATTGATATAACTTTAATAATTTAATTAAAAATATATAGAGATATATATATAAAAATAACAAAAATAAAATAAAATAAAATAATAAAATAACTTCAAGATAACCGTTTTTGAAAGAGACGCATTTTTTAATTTTTTATTTTAATATTAAGATAGTTAACACTTAGTTTAAAATTCTTCCCTTTTCATTTATTGCAATAATATCGAAACCTAAAAATAAAAACGTATAAACTATCTCGCATTTAGGAGCATTACAGACCAAACTTCTATGTTTGCCTTCTGATAGTATAGAAAGCACAGAAAGCCGAAATACTTTTTTATGTTGTTTTAGATTAGTATTTGTAGTTATTAATTGACCTTTGCATTCGTTTTTAATCTATTAAACTTAAAGATTGAAAAAAAATTAAAACTATATGCTTTACCTTTACACAACCTATAAGCATAAATAACCACTGCAACACAAATGCGTTAATGTCCAAATTGATTCTATTTAATAGCGAATCAAAAAAAATATAAATCATTAATTAATCAAGAAAGCATTCATATTATTAATTGATTGAATAAAATAAAAAAAAAACTTTTTTTTCGTTCTTTATTGGGATAAATTAAAGAATAATAATGGAAATAAATAAAAAGATTGGTTTCCCCTTTTTTTAATTTTTTTAATTTTTTTAAAAAATAATTCAAGTTGTTAAAATTTAAAAATTAATTTAGTATGCTGATTGCACACCGCACTCTATATTTTGTATTTATCATCAATTTGTTTGTGTATACTAGAGAATATCTTCTAAATAACCATCTTTTTTACCTCGAACCACCGCAAACGGCCTTTTCTCGCGACATCAAACCCCATAAGTTATCCTGATAAATGTGACTTGAAAAAATTATATTTGGTTGCTAGATACGGTAATTTTATTAATATTTGCAAAATGTATAAAGTTTTGACAGCATGGCATGTAATAACCTCTGTTAATTATTAGGATCAAGTTATCCAGATCCAAGTAGTCTTACAATTTATGACGGATTGGAAAAAATATTTGCTGATGTATCCGTTGCAAAAGATTGGGTAAAAAAGCTTATAATTAAGTCATAGAAAATTCTGTATAAAATAAAATTTATTTGCCGTGTTTAACAGGGAAATCTATCATTTTGATTGCCTTTTTAGTATAAAAATCCTTTCTCCATGATGAAAAATTATCAATTATCCAAACGAGGAGAAATCGAACCTTATTTTGATGGTTTACAATCCCTTAAACGATACGCAAAATTTTGGGACGGAGTTGAATATGATCCCGAACTTATAAAATTTGATAGCACTCAAACTTTAAGGTACAATTTATAAATCATACATTTAATTTCGCATAAAACATTTCATTACTTTAATAAAATAACAATGATGATTTAATATTCTGATTTAAGGACCGGTGCTTCGATTATGGCTTTTTCCGAAGGATTATTCAATGGCAAGGGCCCTTTAGACACTTGTAAAAGTCAACCTATATATTATCTGACTTCACCAAATGTAATATATATATTTTTTATTGTAACACTTATAAAATAATTTTTTTTTTATCAAATCCGGTTCATTAACTTTTCGTATATTTGTAGTCTGAGTTTATCTGTCCACGTTGGAACGAGACCGTTTTGAATAATAATAAATTACTAGGTGAGCAAATATACGCTTATGGTAACAAGACTCTAGCACCAATTGCCAAGCGACTTTCCGAAGAATACGGCATTAGCCCACCACTTAATCCACGTCTAGTACCACAAATTTTCAATTATTGCCAATTTTGGCTCGCGGTTTATAATCGAACCGATGACTGGTATGTCCCAATGAACTATTATTATCATGATATTATTACGATATGGTCTCTTATCATCAATATTCATATGGTCATCCTCTTAATGAACGAAAAGGTTGTAGATATTTCATTCAACTTGTGAATGGAGTTGATAATTATTTAAATGTTAATTCTAGTACGATTGCTGTACTATTTATTCGATACTTACTACATTGGTGTGTGAAAAATTTCATTTTTTTCATTTTATTTTAATGTTTTTTTTTTATACATAATAATTAACTTGTTCATTTAATATTTATAAATTAAAGGGAGTATTAAAAGACAAAATCCCACTCACAGCAGATTTAACCTTTAAACAAAGTATAGATGTCAAATTCACAGAAGATAGACTTATACATTGGTCTTCTACGCTTTATTTTAAGTGTTCCGATGATAGCGTGCTGATACGAGTGTTACTAGATTTTAAGCCTTTTTGGATTCCGGGTTGTGAGAGTGAATATTGCGAGTGGAAAAATTTAAAGAAATTCTTGGGGATAAGATTGGGTGCGATTTTGAAAGGATGTGCGAGTATCCTTAAAGGTTGATTTGATATATTTATTTTATCTTTTCTTAAATAATAACAAATTTATAAAAATATATGTACCATTTATTTACCTATGATTCTTTTAAATTTGCAATAAAAATTTAAAGTACGAAATATTCAATAACAAACTAGACTGTTATATATAATTCTTTTTGGTTATTCAGTATCAGAGATTTTATGTCATTCCTTATTGGTCCTATTTTTATTATCTTACAGGTCAAAGACCGCAATATACGATAAAATTTATAATAAGTTTGTTATCAATACTAAGAATTAAATATAATCAGAATTTTCACTTTTTACTGGTAGTGAAGAATTCGCTAGTGAAACGCTTACTCTACCAGATTATATATAAACTTTGCAAAATATTAACACAATTTATACGATTTGATATTTATCCCGTTCAAGTGCAATTTCATTTGGATATACAATTGAGCAACTGTACCAAGAAACATCAGCTCGCTTTTATTTGTCACACTAGAAAATTGACTGCGTCTAATTTAATCGATGCAGCAAAAAAAAAAATTTGAAAAGCCCGAAATAACTGTAAAGTTAAAAACAAACTTTAAATATTTAACGAGAAAATTTTCATGCTAGTGTAGTTGGGAGTCAATTCTTAAGAGCCAGAATATTAAAGTGACGACCTGATGAAAGAAAGGGGACTACTTGTCTATAGAAATAAACTACCCGGGACAACAAACGAGCAATGAATTTATATTTCGCATAGAAACCTTGCGCACCGATTTGGGAATCGTTAAAATTTCAAAGAAGAAAAAAAATTTTGTCAACAAAATAGTAAAGTTATTTGGATTTAGACATAGTTTTTGGGTACGCCATGTAATTTCTTAAATTAGTAATTAGCTTGCAAATAAAAGTAAACACGATAAATAAAATCTTTGTAAAATTTTGTTTCGTTATTGTACTTTAGATAAGTTCGTCGCTTAAGAATGCAGCGATCGAATATTTCTTTATTTTTGAGTCGATTGAGTTTCGTCTTTATATCTTCGTGCTGCAACGATAAATCTTTTACATATTTCTTTTTTTAAATTATATTTTTATTCTATTTTTTTTTATTTTATTATTGTATTTTTATACTTTATTTTTTTTTTATTCTTATTTTTTAGATGGGTTTATTATTTTATTTTACTTTAGTCAATTTCTTCCGGTTAGATCATTTTTATTTCGCATAGGTAAAGTTTTGTTTTTTATTTTAATTTATTAGACGGTTGGATCGCTGCGAGTTGAACAAATGATTTGTTTCTTACTCTAAAAATTTCAAATAATTGATGCAAACTTTTAGTAAATCACCAACTTTTTTTGTAGGTGTACAGTAGATCATTTCTTTAAACAAAAAATCGCGTTGAAGATTGAAAAGAATTAAAGTTAGAATAGTTTGTCACAATGGAATTAGCTAATACAATGGGAACAATTATTCTTACCCTAAAATATTCAATTTCCATAAATTATTTTCTAACCACCTAAAAAAAAAAAAAACCTTGCAACTTCTTGAATTCAAAAAAAACTAATTGAAGGTTGCATTGATTTTCTCAACTTCTTGAATTCAAAAAAAAACTAATTGAAGGTTGCATTGATTTTCTTTTTTATTTTTTTTTTTTAAACACATTTTTTATAAGATCGTAATATATTTTTTTATAATTACAATATATATTAACTATAATCAATTGTAGTTATCATATCTCTTTTTGAATCAATCTACCGTTGAATCAAATAAAGTTAGATGGTTAATAATCCATTGGCGATATGATGATGATGTTAAATATATGTTTTTTAATTTTAAAAAAATCACGTGAAATGTATTAAAAGCATGCACGAAAAAGAATGTTGTAGTTATCGCGAAATTGTTAAATTTAACATCTGTCCGGCATTACTACAGCTGAAATTTTGTAATAAATATGTAATTTTAGAAATGTAGTCTCTTTCATTGCTACTAAATTTTTATAAATTCATAGATTTAAAAGAATATGTGAAATAGGATTCAAAATTGAAGTCAGATAATTCGAGCATTAAAAATTCTAAATAATAAGTTTATGACCATAATTTTTATAGCCTTATCAAGAATTAAAATAATCGACTATTTGGTCACAAATTTGAGTCTTGTGCAACAATAATTTGTTCTTAAATTGTATAACGGAAGGTACAATTCTTTTATATTGCACTTTTAGAAATTTCAGCAAAACCGGAA